GCTAGCATACAACCTCAAAATATATTTACCCGACAGTAACAGTACTAGTGTTAACTAGGTTTATGGCTGTCAAATATGACCCCATCAGTACTTGCAGCCTTCGACAGATTCAAAAGCTTCTCATGGGTTCACTAGCAACAGTCTAAAAGAGTATTAAGACAGTTTACTTTCCTCACTTACCATACTACTATTGATGACAGCAGCCACAGCGATGAAGTGCATGAGCCTGATATTGAGTTTCACTCTATAGAAAAAGGGTGGAGCAAGGATGTCTTTTGCAAGCTGAAAAACTCCAACCTAAAAGTCCCACTACGGCCTTGGTGGCGGATGTACTGATTTAGGCCGCATCTCCGTCTAGGGTCTCCATCCAGTCCTACAGACTGACCACAATTCCACAGAGAATCCCACTGTGATCAATGACTCAATCAATCAAAAGCAATGCTGCAACAGATCTCTACCTAGGCAGACGAATCCACAGCTAATAACAAACCACTTGTCCAAAAGCATGACCTTGGGAATACTCGATTTCAAATTTAGCCCTCGTATATTAAACGATGCATAACCCAGATACTTCGACGATCATGGCTGAATGGAGGGGTTTTTATGCCGGAGAGACCGTTTCGACCTATTTGAGTCTCGAGATGCAGCCTTTGCAGGTGGGGCATTGGGGCTTAGCCATGATCCATCATGATCTACTCCGTGTTGGCCACCAGCCTTGCAGTTTGAGCATTCTGCAGCTTAGACTAGGCTCAAGAGTCTTGGAGCCTATCCAGATCTAATTCAAATTAATCCGTAGCTGGTTAGATTTGTCTGAGTGCTCAGGGCATGTTGTAAAGCATGCTGTAAGAATACAGATACACATACCAGGGCATACACCTTGGAACATAAACATCTCTGTTAATATTGTTGGCCTACTCGATCATTATCCCAGGATAGGTATCAGAGGATCTGTGCTGAGATGAATCGGATTGTACCATCCAACACTATCCCACTCACTGCCTTCATGGTAGCCACCTTGTGCCGTCTCATAAGCATGTCTCAACGCCTCGCTAGCAGCTAACAGATAGAGGCAAATGACTGCGCTAGTCCGTAGTCCACTGGTACGACCCAGCTGCCGTTAAGAAATCGACAGGTAGGAAAATTATCCTACTCCCTTTATGGCCACTTGCATTCTGCTAATGCCAATCTCGATGTTCTATGCATCCGCATGAAGACTGAGGAGCTGAGATCGGACGGGGTGTCCGGGCACTGGGATCCAGTCCTCTCGTCCCATCCGGTCGGGATTCTGCGTCTGTGAAGGCGAAACCTGTATCAAGTCAGATGGTGTATAGCAGAGTGGACTGGTCGAAATTGCCGGATATTGCCATGCAGGCATCGACACTTGAGGGTGGTTATCGGTGGAAGATATTTCGTACCTAGATGTATCGGAGTGTACCTACTATATTATCATGTCATCTTCCTCATGGTATGATATGATCTCGAACTAAGAACAATAATATTACTTGACTACCTAAAATTTTCTTTTTCCTCATCGATAATACCATTGTGGCCTTCCATCTCTCTCTGCTTTTTTCTTCAGACAATAGAGGATTCTTGCTGAGTATCCATTCATCTCCGCATCTTCGCCCACGCACAGTATCATTACTACCCAGTAACCGATACTTACATACTACGTACCATACAAACTCAGAGTTGACTGCGTCCTCCTATTTCCCTTTTGAGCCATTACACCCGCCCCTCCTCGTCTTCCTGGATTCTTGTCTTTTAGCTCCCTCTCTTTATCTTCTTCTCCTCCTCCTCCGCTTTATTTTTACACTCTTTTTCTGAACGTTCCTTACTTTCTTCCTTTCTTATTCTTTTTCTTGCGCGTTCGCCCGCACGGCTAATTTTGACCTCCACATTATCCACGCCTGACCTCTTGACACAATAATATTCCATCCATCCTTGTATGGTCCAATATATACCCGATCAGGCGGTAGGACGATTGTCTACCCCCCGACTGCTACGGTAACCCTTTCTCTTTGTGGACTCTGCGAGATTGGAATTCACAGACGGACTGTGCTGGGTAAAAAGGTCGCTTGCTGTGGGCGAATGTCGCCTTATGATTATTTCTTCTTTCTCAATATCGTTCTTTTCCACCTCGAATATATGACAAACACTATTGCCGAGCTTCCGGAGTATCACCCATCAACCATCATCTCTTACGTGAGAGTCGTCCATAATGCCAACAGTCTTACTACCCTCCTCGGCCGCAGCATTTGCGCCGCGGTCCTCGCCCAATGTGGTCCTAAGTGCCAAGATCGAGCCCTGGTTGACGGCGACCTTGAAACGAGTTAACCGTGTCAAGAGACCGCTGAACAACGTCACACAGCATACAAGATGTCTGACGGAGACTCTGTCCTCGCCACATGCTATCTGGACTCTGTGCTCCATGATGTTTCCGAAAGCGCCAGACTCGGAGCTTCGAAAGGACGAGAACCCTCTTGTGGAAGCGATCTTCAACTACCAGATGATCCACATCGAAGCATATGTTGTGCACGTCGACATGGTCTCCCAGAACGAGGTTGCCTTCAAGCTTACCCCCGAGACCATCGAGGCTCTGGTGGAGTTCCACCAGGATGTCTACTCTGTGGATGCCGCCGCCAGCACGTGGGAATGGAGCGAAAAGAGACAGCAGCTGAAGAAGCTACAGGAAGAGTTTGTCCAGGCTGCTAACAGATTCGTCTATCGCACCAATGTCCAAGCCCTTGAGGGGCTGGAGGAGGACGGTGCAGGTGAATTGCTCGGGGGAAGGAGTGATGAGGCCAAAGCGGCCATCGAGAGCCTCTTTGTCCCTTTGCGACCTCCACCTCCTCGGGTGGTGGATGTCCTTCGTTCCACTCCTATCCTCCCCAGCTCAGTCGGGATGGACACATGGTGGCAACCTCCATTGCAGCAACCCGCGTCAATGGACGCCTGGAAAGTACTACCATCCAGCCCAACCACGGCCAGCACAGGGGTTTCTAATCCGAATTTGTGGGCCAGTCTCAGTGGTCTCGATGAGACACACTATCCCTCCTCGACGTCACCTTACAGCCAGCCCTTCACCACCTCGCCATACGACTCGGACCCGTACTACAGCGCCGCTGTGACGTCTGTCGCTATCGCTGCTCTTCCACTACCGAGCATGTTGGTGCAGCCTTGTGGCACTGCCGCGAGTGTGTCAGGGTTTGGCTGGGGCGGTCGATACCAGGATTTTGCGCTGATGACGATGTAATGGGCCCATGGCACCACAGGCACTTTGATGTTGACGGTCGGCCTGACTTTCATGTGTCTTTGGATTAGATCACGGGGTACCGACCATCACAGTCACCGAGACTCCTCTACAACCTATACCGGCAGCATACAGTCCCAACGACAACACGGACCACTCTCCTACGGATACCCACATCAGACTAATTGGCATCATTGACGGCGTTCACACTCTCAACTTTGCGACGAAGAACCATGATACTCCACCTCGTTTTTGCTTTGTGCGTCCTGTATTCTTTCCTTGGAAAAACCACAACTACAGTCACACTTCGGTTTTCTCTCGTTTCTCCTTTAGCCAGCACTTGCAGCGTTCTTATTTTTCAGTTCATTGCATCAAGAAGCGGCGGGTCGGCTATTTGTTTTGCTCCTTTCTCATGCTACATCCCGCATTATATGTCATGAAGACCTGGTATGCCTCACGGCTTGGGATATGATTTGGATGAAATGTTCACCCTCTTTTGTCTTTCCTTCCTTGCTGCATCAACAGCAGGTATGGTGGAAGCACATGACGATGCTTGACTGGATTCGGCTTCTTTCTGCATTCCATTGTCCTGCTGTACATCCTCCCCTTTCTGGTACGGGATACCAGATTGAAGTCAATAAACGTGGGCTGGAAAAGGATGCTCTGCAGCGCTGCTTATACATCACATCTGGCATGTGCATGTTAGCGGGTTTGTCGTCCTCAGGCGGTAGGGTTGCGAAGGGCTCGAAGGACGCTGCATTGGCTTACAAGGATCGGAACGTTCGCCTGCGGCAGATATTCCGATCAGGGCTAAGTACACGCTGTCTGTGACCTCGTCGAAAGTCAGCCCACTTGACGTCAGTGCGACTCTTTCGTCCGGTTGTCCCCTATCCCCTGTGTGTCGCGTGGTAGGTTCATCCCCTACCGTCCAGGCTGGGTTTATATATTACCTGGATGCGCTCGGTCCATCATTCCATTTCCACTGGCTGGAATATGTTGACGATGGCGAGAATCGGATGCTGGCATAGTCGTTCACTTCTTTTTAAGGGCTGGAACCCTCTGCTTATCTTCTCTCCTTCGCAATGGGAATGTTATCATTCTTTCTTCGCACACATTGAAGTACTTGCGCGAGATGTATCTAAATTGAGAAAGCTCTAATCTAAACTGCACAATCCATGTCGATTTGTGGCAAACTGCTCGCGTGGGACGAATCCCGTTTGACTGAGAAAGTAGTCGCTGATTTTGTCAGGGGTACTCATGTTGTAACATCATAGCCGTAGAGAGGCAATAGGATTCCTTGGCTGCGTTGTGTACTCTGTAGTGCGAACCGAACCGAACCGAACCGCGGAGTACAAGCAAGACACATGACGTCAGCCACATCTGGTGGACCAAGACTGGTCACTGGACTGGCAACTCAACTCCACGGAGATATTGGAGATCTGCCGGGAGAGGTTTATCCTTGATTTATTGGATTGCATCATTCGTAATGCTATAGAACGGGTCTTTGATGTCCCGGTGCATTCGACGCCCTGATTTTTGTACATGACTATGATTCATTCGCACGTACATCTTGTCGACTGCTATATGGAGTAGCAAGGAGTGCTGATTGCAGACTGAACGACGACGGACAACGCTGTCGGATTTATCCAGTCATTTCTTTGAGTGGATGGTCCATATACACAAAGAATCGTGAGAAATATCGACGAAAAATAGGTTCCAAAGACGTGATCCTTCCAATCCATCACCAATGGCATCCTTGCAAGAAGCATTGCAATGCCTCTCTCCCACGACGTGGGACAGCGTCCCTACCGACCCCGCCAAACTACGAGACTACATCAACGACATCTCCTCGAAAGCGCGCCTGATCGTCGACTCCGTACCAGAGACTGTCCCCTCTCACAAACAAACCTGCTACACCTTTGACTCCAGCTCCCCCGCCGCATCCCGCATCACCCCCTCCCTGGCCCGCACAGGCTCCACAGATCCCGAACTCGTATCCCTCCAGCGCGAATGGGGCAAGCCCATTAAGGTCACCGGTTCCAAGGACAACCCGCTCGAGATCCCCATCTACAAAGTGCAAGGCGCCGACGGCAAGGGCCATTGGTTTGGTCGCCGGAGTGTGCACGAGGGGCTTCCCTTCTCGACGTGGAAGAGGAAGCTGGCTAGCGAGATGGACGAGACGCTTGAGGCGAACCGGCCGCTGATACAGAAGGGGCGGGTCGCGGACCAGGCGGTGCGGGGAATCGGGGCGGAGCGACTGATTGAGCAGGTGAAGGTGAAGGACGAGCAGGGGGAGAGGGATCTCGGTACTGTCAATGTGTATCATGTCTCTGCGCAGTTTCCGAAGCCAACCACACCGCGGGATTTCGTGACGCTTATCATTAACTGGGAGACAGAGGTGAATGGGAGCTGCGAGGCTACTGGTACCGGCGCGGGGGCGGAGGCTCAGCGACGCGGCCGCAATTGGATGATGGTGTCCAAGCCCTGTGAGCATCCGGATGCGCCGCCGAGGCATGGGTATATTCGGGGTCAGTATGAGTCTGTGGAGTTTATCCGGGAAATTCCAGTCAAGAAGCCTCCGGTCCGGGACGTGCCGCTTGAGAAGGCCGTATCGCCGGCCCGGAGCGAGGACAATCTGCTTCGACAAGGTGCCTCTCCTGAACCAGCTGCGCAGAAAGAGGCTACTGGCGGCAAAGCCGGTCGACCGAGAGGAAAGACGGAGTCGGCGGTCCTGGAGAACCGGGGTAAGGAGACAGCGAAGCCTATTGATGACCTTGACAGGGATGACGAAGAAGATCCATGGCCAGTGGAGTGGATAATGGTGACCAGGAGTGATCCGGGTGGCAATATCCCTCGTTGGATGGTGGAGAAGGGGACTCCCAAGAGTATCTGCACCGATGCCGTCAAATTTGTTGATTGGGCTTGTCGCGATACCACTACACGAGACAAGGACGAGCGCTACAGCCATGGACGAGAGTCTTCAGAGAAAACGATGGAAATTTCGTCACTGGAAGGCGACGCGCAAGATAGTACCGTCTCGGACGACGATACAGAATATGAAGAAGAAGAACATCATGGCTTGATTGCCAGTTTCGCGTACCTCCTCAATGCAGGGCTGGAGCGGTATGCGCCCAAGGCCGTCCTAGACTATCTACCACACAGTCCACACCGTACGCTGGAATCCTCAGTCCAGTACAGTTCATCTGATGACACCGAGGGGCCCAGCGAGAAAGAACCCTCATCGAATGCCAAAGGTGGCACCGAAGATCTCGAAAAAGACGCCAGTACGAACGCTGCCGATGCTGCGTCGCAAACCTCGCAACCAATCCCAACGACCAACTCGGTGCCTACGACTCCCCTCTCCGAACTCGCCCACGATAGCCTCTCTCCGGTGGATGTGATCAAGATGAACAAAACGGGCAAGCTTTCCTCCCACGAGAAGCAGCTCGCCAAGCTGGCACAGCGGAAACGCGAGGTCGAAGCTCAATTGGAGACCATCAGGAACGAGATCCACACACTCCAACTTGGTTCCTCCCCCGAGGTGGATACCAAGAAAGCTCGAGCTGCTGCCGCTGCTGGTGATTCTGGCGTGAGCGACCAAGCCAGTAGCAGCATTGCCAGTATCGATCTAAAGCAGGGAGTGGTTGAAGGCGCTTCTTTATCAAGCAACGGCCACCATAAACAGAAGACTAACATCGAAGCAGCGCAAATGCAAAAGATCGCATCCGGCTTATTCCAGCAGGAAGCAAAACTCCTTAAGCAGCTCGGAAAGATCGAAAAAAACCAGCTCAAGGAAGCCTCCAAGATAGAAGCGCAGCAGCGCAAGAACGCCGACCGCGAGGAGAAATCGCGGGTCAGGTCAGAGACTGATGCTCTAAGGCGTGAGGTAGATACGCTCAAGAAGGAGGTCGACCGACTGCGGTCAGAGAGGCAGAAATGGCTAGACCTGATTGCGTCGCTGCAGGCTGAGAATACCAGGTTAGCGGCACGGCAGGGTGGTAGTGGCGATGATCGATAGTATATGATCTATGCCTTGCCGCTCTAAGCCGACTTGTGTGTGCATTGGCGGATCTATGGACGTTGCAGTATTGTGATCACTGACGAATATTGCATGAGACTTGTAAATGATAGCTCAGGTCATCAAATTGTATATCCTAATCAAGTTGTTGTAAGTACAGCAGAAGAACTGTTCATGATGACAGTTCCCAGATAACGCCATGCACCGGGTATCAAAGTGTATCCTGTGTCAATACACATATTCTGAAGAATCTCAACCATTCCATCTGCGGCGTTTCCCGTGGAAAGCCTGCTCTTATCTGACCTCACATAGCAAGATCCGAAGTTCTAAAGGCCACAGTAGACCTATAGATAACCGCACAGTCCGATTGACTCTGCCTTATTGCAGTGCGCTATCCGGCGAATCCTCCTTCGACAAGAGTAACTGTAAACGGACCTCGCCTCCTGCAATTGAGCCACCCTGGTCGCAGGAACGCCCAACTCCAGTGCTATCCAGTCCTATCCCAATCCGTACCTCAGAAACTCGTTATTCCTGCGTCTAACCCCCACATCAGCAAAACAGCGTTCCCTCAACAAGCACAGCAAACAAGACCAACCTCAGGCGGATTCCCAGCCCCGCGAACCATCTTTTCAATCATCGCAGCCCGCACCTTCTCCTTCGGCTCGCCCATCCCAAGAGCCATGTATGAGAGCAGCGGCGCGTGCCCGATATACGACGCATAGCTGTCGCRGATGATGTTGGATTCCCATTCGTACTTGGTTGTGTCGGCGTGGCCGGTGCCGACGTGGCGGGCCTGCAGGGCTTCAAGGTTTTGGAGAGTGCGGAGTTTGTCAGCCATTTTGAATTATTCTTCTGTAGTATGAATAATCTGTAATGGAAGGGGTTGTGGTTGTTGTATGTCGCAGGGAAGGAATTTCGGTTGGGGGAATTGTTCTGATGCAAAGAAATATCACGTGATATTCGCGGAATCGCATCTGAATGATGGTGAGCTCGGTACAAATCATCCATATTTTCCTAGCCATTGAGATGATCTTTGATGGATTGTTTGACTGCAGAGTCACTGCCATCCCGTATCGCCTCCTTGGTGCATGCGCATTTTGATGGCCTGCCTGCTCGCAGCAAGCCCACCATCTACCCTGATGGGTCGAGAGAATGGATCCCCATGTCCGGGATCGTGGTTGTAAAAGGTTATCCTTGTGGCTTTTTCTGATATTTGGTTCACCTGGCTGAAATCTAAGTAGGGGAGAATACTGCCTCAGAGAAATTAACCTGTGTAGCAGTCACGTATGCATCCAGCCGTTGGTCTCTATTCATGCTTAGGATGATATTAACTGCTTTATAGTACCGGTGCAAAATGCCTTTCAGCGTCTCAGGTATCCAAAAGCAGAGGCCTGGTGCTGCATGACTGGCACGCGGAGGTTCTGGCCCTCCGCTCATTCAACTACTGGCTCCTGTCTGAATGCCACAACCTGCTGGCCCAGGAACAGCATGCAAGACCATCAAATTCAGCGAATACACCAGGAGCAGCATCCTCACCTTTCATCCGCCGCAGGCAACTCACCGAAACGCCCAGCGCAGCGCAATCAGATCCAAACCCCGCCTGGCCCCCCTTTGAACTCCAACCCGACATCAAAATCTACATGTACTGCACCTGCGCACCCTGCGGTGACGCAAGCATGGAGCTCTGCATGGCCGCACAAGACGACCCAAGTCCCTGGGAGGTCGCACCGGGACCCGAGCGCACCGAGTCACCTGGCCCAGAACTCCTAGATGGCCGGGGATACTTCTCCCGCCTCGGCATCGTCCGGCGCAAGCCGGCGCGCGCGGACGCCGAAGCAACTCTCAGCAAGTCGTGCTCGGACAAGCTTGCGCTGCGGCAGGTGTCGTCTCTCCTATCGTACGAGGCGAGTCTGCTCGTTGCGCCCACTCGAAACGCGTACATCGAGGCCCTGATCCTCCCTGAAGAGGAGATAAGCCGGGTTGGCTTCGAGCGGTGTTTCAGCGCCTCGGGGCGAATGAAGACGCTGAATGGTAGGTTCTGGCCGGCGCAAGTTGATAGCGTAGTACAATACGGATACGGGTTCCATCCCTTCCGTGTTCCCTCTGTCCCCAACGACCTGATCGAGACGATCTGGCCATTCCGGAAACCGAAGCCCTCGTCAGAAGCTACGACGCCAACGCAGACCTCGCCGAAGAAGAATAAGCCAGGGAACGTATCGGCCGTGTGGGTGGCCGCCCCCTCACTTCCTCATCCGTGTCCCATTGCATCGGATAACGGTGCCAAGTCCTTGCCGGTGCTACGGGGCTCGAGGACGGGCTTGTACGAAACCATCATCAACGGGGTGAAGCAGGGGAATCGGGCGGCATCTGTTACGCCTCGTGGTGCTTCTGCGTTGTCGCGCGCGAAGCTCTGGGGCTTGCTCCGCGATATAGTGCGGTCATCATGCTCGGGGGATTCTACTCTGGAGGTTGTTGATGGAGAGATTGGGTTGCAAGCAGGCAATATCCCGGAAACTGGGCCGTCTCTGCAGGATACGGCGCTTTGTCAATTGATTGCAGCGTCCACGTACGAGCAGTTTAAGAAGACGCCAGTGGCATTGACGCCTTCCGTGAAAGCACGTAAAGATGCCGTTCAAGAGGCCAAGGAGGCCTTGAAAGGATGGATCTCTAATGAAGGCGATGAACAATGGGGACTGGAGGTTCTCATTGATCCTAAAAAGCGCAAGCGCTGACGAATTGATTCTTTAAATATCATACACAGAACAAACATTATGGGTGATAACATGCGAGGACCACTCGTGCACTTGCAGTGCCCGTCAAAGGGCCCTTTCAAGCACAACCCTTGGAAACCCTCAGCCATTATTATAAACTTTTATCTATATTATTATGTATTACATCAAGATGCGACGGTCGATAGCCCCAAAGACAGACGGCGTCCCCGTCTCAGTTAGCCACGGTGTCAAGTAATCAAAGGCCGAACAGGCTGCATCACTAGTAGATGCCCGGGATGATTCTGCTGCGTACCAGAGATGTATAGCGGTCCCAGTCAGCGCCATACTTCCGCTTGCACTTCTCCTCATCACGTCTCTCGCGGTGAAGAAGCAGGACACCGAAGTAGATCATGTAAAAGTACGTGAAAATCATTCCCCAGCCGCGAGACTCCGGCGTCTGGACAGCCTGCTTCTGCATCTCACCAGAAGCCGGGTTGATACTCTCAATAATCGCATACCCTGCAACGCCGGTTGGGAGGCAGTACGACCAAGACATGATCCAGTCGCCAAGATAGTTAATGTGACGTGCGCAACCCCACCAGCCGGAAATAAGCAGCTTGGAGCCGGTCTTTGTTTCGATATATTTGAGGTGCTTCACGCGGGGGTCATTTGGATCGGTGCGGAAGCGGTTTTTCTGGTTGTTGGCACCACGGAAAATCGAATATCCCGCGGCTGTGACGGCAAAGACGATGAGGATCCCACTCAGACCGAGCTCAGACGGGTAGATGGCGAGATATCTGGTTTGGAAGTTGTAGAGGAACGGAACCCAAACCATGTCGCCGAAGGAGAGCATGAAACCAAATCCATCCATGATGACGTCCATGGTCGTCAGAAGAGCTGGTTCCATGTAAAGACCATCAAGCACGTAGAAGCCCTGGAACGCAGTCGTCAAGACGATCGAATCGGTGATGTAGCCATATGTGCGGTATTGATGGGCGATATTCGACAAATTCAGAATGATCCATCCAAGCAAGCCAGGTCTCATCTCACACCACACCTTGATGTCGATCGTCCGCGCCGTCTCACTCACGAACGGAATAGGCAGCTTGATTCGGGGGTTAAGCTCCCGGCCAATGAAGAAGTCATACAGGACGTTGCCTGTGTGTCCGCCAGGCGCCAGTTGCCGGAGCTCTGGGTTCAATTGCCCAGGAGCAGGAACCGAGAAACTTCTGAGGTAAACGAAGATCGCGATGGCCGTGCAGATGATCAGGTTCGCAGTGATCACCTGCACATAATTATCCCAGAGGAAAGTCCATACCGCGAACTCCGCGCCGTACAAGTACGTGCCTACCGCGCAGCCGGACAAGATCAACACCGCCGACAGGAATGCTGCGAATCGTCAGAAACACGAGGAGCTTAAGTCCCGGGGAGCACGAGAGGTCGTTACCGTTGAATTTGTACTTGAGTCTCCCTCCACAAGCCAGCTCGGTACCTTCAACTTCTGTGCCAGGGAGGAACACCTGCATAAGCAGGCTTAGGGAATAATAGCTCAGAACCCACAAGGTGACCTGAGTATCATAGAAAGCTTTGATTCCACCTTCCGGCCAGCCGACCTCCTGTTTCAGCTTATCAATTGACAGTGTGGATGGGTGCAGAAGTGATGGCGCAGGACAACCCGAGATATCGTTGCAGAGGAAGGTGAACGCGTAGAGCAGACAGGGTAGGCCAAAGATTATTCCGAAAGCGCCAATACTGTGAAAATCAGCTTATCAGCCTGACAGGTTTATAATCTTTCAATGGTTGTGACAACGTACGGGCCTTGAAACTCATAACCGCGCTTCTCTGGAACGGGTTGAATTGGAACTTTTGACTTCTCGGATGTCTTTGACGCCATTGTCCTCGACGACTCACGTCAATAGCAGGTTCAAAACGAGCAATTGGTCTTCTGTGTCGCAGAGACGATCCAGGGGGACTTGTGGTTCAAATAAAATTTCAGGAACAACCCCAGATAGTGCGGATCAGCGATCGGGACGCAGCCCACCGTTACCGATCATCGACGTATGAGGCCGGATAAGCAGAAGCCGATAGCTGCCTTCAATGTCTTGGCGCTTGATACGAGATTATTCGTAGAATTGACTAACTGCGGCGCAGTCCGCAGGATAATAATGAATAATGATTATTGAGAGACCTAGGCAACCTAGGTAGTTTTATGGTCTAAGCCTGAAAAGGCGGGATGGAATGGCTTATGGGAGCTTCTCCGCACGTGGAGGTTGGAGAATTGCGACCGAAACGCCATTTGGCCCGTATTACGCAGCTTCATTGCGATTTCGACATCTTGTGTCTCTCTTTGAACCTCTTTAGCTCGTCTTTTTCTTTTTACATTGTGGGTTTCGGACACGCTCCTTTTTACGATTTCCTCTATCCTTGTTGTCGCATCGATTCACCAAGATATCGCTTGTTTTCCGTCCCTCGGGGATTGACTCCTCAAGATGAAGTCGCTGGCTGGCTCATTCCTGGGACTCCTATTTCTTTTATCAGCTCCTGTTACATCAGTCTACGCTGCCTCTGAACCTACGGGCAAGAAAGATGGACTCTCCCCGTGTGTTGCACGCTCTCCGGCTACCGGCCTCTACTATGATCTGAATGCGATCTCGGTATCTCATCCGGATACCTCGGACGGCAAGAAAAGCAGCAAGAACGCGCCAAAAGAAAGTTGGCATGCAAAGGGCCATGACTATCATGCCAACTTTACACTCAATATCTGTGCACCCGTTGTCGAAGACATAAAGGATGTGGTGGGGGTAGAGCGCGACAGGTGGAAGAATGTCAGCGCCTATTACGAGAAGGAGGGGAAGATTTACTCCCTTGGGTAGGTGTGATAAACATACAGTGCGGTTTGGGATGCGTCGGCTGATCGTATTGTATAGAGAACAAGCCGCCCAACCATTCTTTCGCGGCCGCAAGCTTGTGTTGAATTACACTAATGGCTCACCTTGCCCTGGCGAGCAAATCGGAAATAGTTCGCGGTATAAGTCGACGATCATGTCTTTTCTGTGCGATCGTGATGCTCTTTCCCACCAGGCCATTGCGTCTTTCGTCGGCACCATGGATCACTGTGCATACTTCTTTGAGGTTCGAAGCTCGGCCGCTTGTGGTAGCATCGGTCACGCGAACGGTGAAGGCCTGGGGCCGGCGGGCGTTTTTGGTGTGATGTAAGTCCATACCGTTCTCTCTTTGCGGGACAGAGTACTAATAATGCTGATCCTTAGTGCTCTGATTGCCGTCGCCGCGTACTTGGTGGGTGGTTGTGCCTATCAGCGAACGGTCATGCACCAGAGAGGCTGGAGACAATGTCCAAACTATAGTCTGTGGGCGGGCATCTTTGATTTTGTAAAAGTGAGTGTCTTGGCCTTGATACCTTTCCGGTCATCTCGCATTCGATCTAGACGTGGCGTCCTGAGTCCCTATAAGGAGTTTGGTAGTCCGAGGTTGCCCATTTTCCGAACGGATTGACCTCTGCTTTGGCTGGTCAGAGGCTCGGGTGCACTGAGAAGGCGATACACTCTTTTCCAGTTCCCATACCTTAATAGATTCCTACTCATCTAAGTCGAGCATGTGTCTTGATTTTGTGCAATCCGATAGTGTATATAGATCTCTCTCTATTCACGCGGCATCACTCATGCCATTGCTGATCAATTCCGTTTGCAACCGCTATCCTTGAAAATAAGCTGACGATTCTCCTCACCCTCCCATATAGGACATGTTCATCATCCTCTTCTCCTCCTTGGGCCGTCTTTTCCGTATCAGACGTTCCCCCACCCTCGGACACGGCCGCGCAAGTGGTTCGAGCGGCGGTTTCATCGGGGCGATCGGCGGCCGTCGAGGACGAGACAGCTATGCGTCCGACGTCGACGCGGAGAACCGTCTCATAGACCAACTGGACGAGACCTGGGATGACTGATGATTGAGATGTTTTGCTTCTGTTTCCTTGGGATTTATGATGTTGGTCAATGGTTTTCTTGCTTGCCTCCTGTTGTACAATAGGAGCATGTCTTAAAATTTGGTTATGACGATTTCTTTTGCTATCTGTCGTTAAGACCTCATGTATTGGAAGATTCGGGTCGTGCCACGACGAGTCTGGCAGATGCTGCCGTTGTTTGTCTCAGTACATATCTTTCGATTCAGCTCGGTATATAAGCATTCCGTCGGTGTGCGTAAGAATTCGGACGCCGCTTATTGCATCATTGTATAGCAAACAACAATAGGACGGCTTCTCGAAGACCATTTGACTCTTTCACTTGATAAGCAGCAGGAACAGACTGAGCACATGTGATTCTGGACCCCCTTTGTGGCTACCTGTTATGGTAAGCACTTAGTGTAATGTATCTACTTGTGATTAAGCAATGAACCCAAGACGTTTGTTCAGGTACCTTGTGTGGAATGTATCTGCCATCTGACTCCACGGACCCAAGCTCCATTGAAGAATTCCTTACAAGGGCGGGTGAAGCTACCCACGCACATGTATGAAATACCAATCTAGTCAGATGGATTCAGTAGTTGTGGGAGTGACTGAGTTATAGACTCTAGAGACGGCTTATTGATATGTCGATAATCTGATTCTGGGAATGGCCGAAACTCGGCAGCAATTCTGTTCGCATTAACGTGGCGTTGTAGATTGCCGAGAGCATGCACATCAAGGTCATGCATTGTTTCTATATTTTGAGGGCATTCTGGATTTGGAAGTACCCTGAGAGCCAAATTAGAGCTCGATCCGGTCAACGAGTAGCCGCTGTGATCGATATTGATATCGAGAAGCTGTGGTAGATGGCACATTTCCAGTAGAACCTGTTGCCATGTCCCAGACTTCAATTTGACCAGCCAAAAACTGATATGCCGGATATTCTCTGATAATTGGTTGACAAGCGAGAGAAGAACGTGGCATGAAATGGAAACTCCCCCTAGATAGAGGGACCGCAGACAAAGGGAACGTGGAAAGGCGAGGAAGTCAACATCTAGAATAT